GGATGCGCGTACGGCGGCACTCGTTCTTCTGGATCTTCTCGGTGGTGGTGCCCCTCTTTTTCCTCACCACGGCACTCGCCACCTCCTTCGTCGTGAACGAGGACGAGTTTGCTGACCGCGCCTCCATCACCCTCACCGCGCTCTTAGCGATCGTCGCCTTTCAGCCGGTCATCGCCGACCGGCTGCCCGACGACTGCAACACGATGACCCTCGTGGACCTCTACGTGTTCATCTGCTTCGCCTTCGCCTTCATCCTCATCATGGTGCAGTCGGTCAATGCCATGTACGTCAACTCGTCGGACACAGACCTTCTCGAGCCAACCTATGCCGAGGAGATCGGCGGTAAGCCGTACCGCATCTCGTCGCCGTTCGTGGTGACCATCTGCGTGTGGGTCGGCTTCCACCTCTTCATCGGGCTCTACGTCTACATGATTATCAAGTGGAGGCGATCTCGCTCCAGGTTTTGGAAGTCGCAGAACAACGTGCTCTGGCTGGGCCCGCTCAACGCGGACCTGATCGGGCCGCGGGGCGAGAGGACGAGTTCGGACAAGGACGAGAGGAAGAAGAAGGTCGAGCAAATCATCTGCAGCAGGCTGCGCGAGCTGCCCGCCCTCCGGGCGCAAGGACACCACGTCAAGGGCGCCAGCCTCTGGAACATCGAGGACGCGCAGGAGCAGCTGCGGCAGGAGCACGACAAGAACGAGCGGCTGCACTTGCGGCTGTTGGACTGCCTGCTCCGATTGGACGGCACTTTGGCCCGACTGCTGAGTCCGACGGCGCCAAAGCCGTCGAGCACGTGCGCCCTCGTCGTGATGGATACAGCCCGCGGCGCGGAGGCGCTCCTCGACCTTGTCAAGGAGGAGCCGGAGCGGTGGAGCGCCTTTGTGGAGGAGGTCGAGATGGAGGTGGCCCTGGCGACGGCGCCGGACGAGCGCGCCAAGGCGCTGCTGACTGAGCTCTTCGCCTCGCACGACCATGATTGGACCATCCCCGACAAGGTGAAGGAGACGCTGGAGAAGCTCCGCGTCTCGCGCAGCGTCGCACCGCGACTGGAGCGGCTCAAGAGTCTTGAAGTGAGCGAGGAGCAGCCGCCGTCCGGCACAGAGAGCCGCCCTCCATTGGTCAAGAGGGCGAGCGATGGGTCCCTGCTCTCTCTGTCCTCCCGCCACTTCAAGCCCGCCACGGGCCGGGTGCGGCTCGAGGCCCTCAACCCGAGCTGGATCTCTCTGCTCGACGAGTTCCGCCCGCTCCCGCCGCGGCGCGAGCCGCTCTTGTCTCTCGGCCCGTTGGCGTCGAGTAAGCTGTGCAGTGCCGACCTCGACATAGTGTGGCCCAGCGGCGGAGTCGGCGCGAGGCCGGCGTATTTGGAGTTCTCCGAGGTTGCAGCAGTCACGATCCCGCGCGCGAGCCGGGCAGCGAACCAGATTCCGGAGGAGGCAACGCATTTTGCGTACGTATCGATCACATCTGCAATGCTTGCGGCGGGCGAGGAGGCGAGACAGCCGCGGCTGATCCTCCCTCACGGCGGCTTTGCGTATTGGAGCCAGCAGCCTTACGAGCAGGGTGAGGCCGAGGACTCTCAGCGCAAGATCTGCCGGCCGGCTCTGGTCACGCGGATCACAGAGGGGCCGGGCATGTCCTTCCACCGCAGGGTGCTGACCAAAGAGGAGCACGGCGCGCTCAAGGACTACCAGCTCCTGCCGGTCACGCTACCCTCCCTCCGCCAGATCAAGGTGCGTCGCTTCTGCTGGATACCGCCCACATGCCCGCGGGCCGGCAAGACGGACTGCCACTGCGTGCGGCAGCTCGAGTTGGGCTCGGCCCTCATCTGCCCGCACGGCGGTTTTGCATACACCTACTCGGATGACGATAACAAGCACACGAGAAAGTTCGACTGCGTGATGAGGCTGAAGCTGCCGTCGCAGGACTTGCCCCCAGCCCGTTCCGAGTGCATATCCCGGCCGCATCAGATTGATGCGGCACTGAGCCGTGTCAGTGTTAGAGCGGACTGACGTATCACCCGCAAAGCGAAGTCGGGAGCCGGCCGAGATCGTGTTGGAGGCTGCGCTGCGCAAGCACACGGGCGGGAGGGCTTCTACAGCGGAGGTCCTGCATGCGCAGGGCTCCTCTTTCTCCGTTTTACCGCTGGGCGAGGTGTCCAGGAGAGTAGCTCTCTCCGCTGTCGTGTCGCCAATCGCACCGTCATCGCATACACACATGCACATGCAGCAAACAGATAGAGAAAACGACAACATGCAAATATGAAATAAGCACATGGTTTTGCAGTGCCTCTTCGTTTGTTGTGAACTAATTATCTCACCCGTGGCGTAACAGCTGATGGCCATGGGCTGATGTGACAATGACGCATGTCAGCTGCGGTCGATGCTGAAGCAGCGCGAGAAGTGGACGACGTTGAGGCGTTGGTCCTTGATGTGCGCCTCCATCATCGGCTCCGAGGATGCGTGCCCGAGCCTGGCCGTCATCTCCTCGTACCTACGGTGGAGCGGTGGTCGCGCACACGTCACGGATGCGTCCTGCGCAACAGTCCAAGCCGCCACTTCGCGAGAGCGCCGCTGCGCGAGGGTGCAGATTGTGGCCATCGTGGCGGCGTCGCCGTAAAAGTAGGCGTCCGACCCCCACAGGTAGTCCTGCAGCGCCAGGTACGGCGAGCCGCCGCCGCACGCCTCGAGCGGCCGCGGGATGCACGACGGCCGCAGGTCGGGCCGGCCGCGGATCACATAGTCGGGTGCCGCCGCGCCGAGCGAGCGCACCATCAGCTCGTGGCAGCGCTGCAGCATCGCCCACTGGTTGTAGAAGCGGCCGTCGTGCCCCTCGGCGTCCTCGCTCACCCACAGGCGCAAGTCGGCCAGCTCGATGACCGCGCCGTCGGGGTAGCAACGCGCGAGTCGCTCCGTGTCCAGCGGCTCCTGCGCCGGAGGGGGAGGGTGGACGGATGCATGGGCGGCAAGTGCAGCGGCGGATAGGATGGGCGACGGCCACGTGGCGTCTTGCTCGTGTGTCGCAGCGTGTTGCCTCCGCGCAGCGGTCCGCCTCTTGCGAAAAGTTGTTGCCCACCGCGCCGCGAATCGGCCAGACGTGCAGGAAGGCGCGCAGGTCGTAAGCGTCGGCGTAGCGCGCGAAGAAGTGTCTCCAGTGGGCCCCGTGGGCGTACGAGCGCACCAGCCCCGGCAGCAGCACCGCGACGAGCGGCCGCCGCCGCG